AATTCAAACTCAAAATTAAAATGTGTTTAAACCCATGCTAGTTTTGCATTTAATGGACTAGTGTTTCAGTGCTTTGGATGGAGGTGATATGAAAAACATTTCCTAAATGGGGTTAATACTGCAAGGAGGGGTGGTGGCAGGATGCCACAGTTGGCTGGGCTATATGGGGTGACTTTGGTCACATAGGAAACCAGGTGTGACTTCACTCCAATTTAGTAGCTTCTCTTTGCTTGAGAAACTCAGAAGCAGCATCTTTGTAGTGCTGCAGTGGAAACAGAGAGATGAGAGGAAACATGGGTTCTACCTCCCTGGCTCAAACCACTGACAGTCCCTTTCCTCTCTGATAATAATAATCTTCACTTACAGCCTGATCCAAAATTCACTGACGTCAATGAGAACACTTCCACTGACTTCAGTGGGCTTTGCATCAATCCTTTACTATTTTGAGTGTGTGTTTTAATGTGGCTAATGGAGGAAGTGGGTGCGAGTTCTATGATCTTCAGTGCAGAAGGAAGTAAATCAGAACCAAAAGGCAGAAATGCTCCATAGATGGGGGTGGAGGGCAGTAGGAATGTAGCAGGCCCTCATCAACCTCAGGGTTATAGCTTGCCTTTCCTAGGGATCCTCAGATGCCACAAGGTTAGGACACCTTGCTCCTTGAGGGGAACATAGAGTGGAAACCCCATGATGTGTACCTCCTCCTGGAGTGCCTTCTTGTACTTTTTACAACACGATAGTACATTATGGACCTTAATTTGTATGGAGGGGCAGTTTATCTCTTCTAAGAGTAGTACTGCATTTTACAGAAATAAAAATTGTATTAATAAACCATCTTAAAAGCATTGTGAACTGGTTCTATACCCCAGTTTTCTGAGCCAAATAAAACCAAAAAGTTACATGGCATCATATTTGTAACTAGAAGGAAAAGATGTAAAGAGAATCCCCCTTCTGTTAGGACATTGTGTCCATGGGCCATACCTGCTTTTGGTTGATTAAGATCTTTTTTTAACAGTGACACAGTTGTGACATTTAACCAGTGGGCCACATTGGGGATGCTGCAAAGGTGTATGGCCAGAGAGGTGCTTCAGGAGGGGAACTGCACCTGAACTCCCGGGCCTGATGCCGGACCATGGTGTTCCTTAGATCTGCTAGCTGGTGTAGTTAGTAGTTCTGGTTCCTCCCCACCATAGGTGGCTCTCTCATAAGGACACTGAGGGAGGACTAGTGCTTGGTCTCAGCAACTGCAACTATGGCTGGTCCTTCTGTGCAGGGAGCACAAGAGCACCTCATTTGATAAGGGTCTAGGCAACAACTTGGCCCTAAAAAAGACATGAATACAAGCTCTTGTTTTCTAATATCCTAACTTTTCAAGGGAGGTGCTCTCTGAACGGACTGTTAACACCGTATTACTATACACTGTAAATCTAGGTGCAGAGAAGAAAGCCCCCTTCATTCTAAACCACCATGAATCTATTTGATTTGATAGATATTAATCACTTTAAAAACTCGGGGCTTGACCTACAGAAGTGCAGAGCTCCTGCATCTGTGATGGAAGTCAGTTAGAGTTGTGAATGTCCCTTCGGAACGTCAGCCTCTGCATTCTTTTCATGAACACCATGTTCTAAAAAAGTGAACTTTTAGGCTAATGGGAGTGAAAAGTAGTACTCGTTTTCGTGGCTTGTGGAACTGGATTCTGGGTTGCTTCAGCCACTGTTGTCCATGTGTGCAGCTTTAAAGAGCCTCTTCTCTACACTACAGAGCTTGCATTGGTTGATTTAAACCTCAGTTTCAGTGTAGTAATACAGACTGTGTTTGTCATCCATCAGTATGGCTCACATCACAGCTGTCTCCTTATGTATGCAAATCACATGATCCCCTTTCTCACCCATCCCTTTCCCAGAGAATTGGAAGCAGATGCTTTTGCTTCATCTCCATGGAAAGAAGTCATGATTCTCTACGAGTGGCATTAATATCCATGACAACTGATTTATAGTGTCACAAAGTAAAAGAATAAAGTCTTTATTACTTGTGCAGAAAGGAATGAGGTGATGGATAGAAAAGGCTCTGGAGTACACATAAGGCCTGAGTGGTAAATATTTAACAAGAGAACTCTCCATCCCTTCTGTTGTTTACTCTCCTTATATGCATTACAAACACATTTAAACAAAGGCAACTCCCCCTTCACTTCATGCCCCGTATGCATATGTTTTACATGTAACAGCTACCCAGTACAACTTTACTGATGGAGGCTTTTGCCATCTCAAAGGTAAACAAATACTATGAATGTCAAAGGAAATTAGGGCTAGGAGAAGTGGCATTTGTGAAATGCCTGAGGGGTTACTGTGAGTGAGGAAGGGAAAGGAGAAAAGTCAGATGTGAGGGACCTGCAACTGTGGATGGATGTAAATATTTAATAATATAGTTAGGCAAACCATAGTAATGCAAACCACTGAAAAATACACAGAAAGAAAAATACATTCACTGGATGGAGAGTAACTGAACATTTAGACAGGTTTCAGAGGAACAGTTAGACAGAGACAGAGAGGGCCTAGAGGTGGAAAGCATAATTTTCCTGAACTTCTGCTATTACAATATCGCTGAGTTAGCTAACCTTGGAACCTCATGCTCTCCTTTGTGGAAAACAATTCTCACTTCTCTGTCTATAAATGGCATCACAGACCTCCTGTAGTATGAACAGATAAGCATTTGTATTTGCAACATACTTCACTCACTCCTTATGTCATGAATACACGTCTCAACTCTCACATCTTATTAGGTTTTAACTTAATTTTAGTATTTCTATAATTACTGGAGTTTTATTCATTCTGGAATGTAAGATGCTTCAGAATATCCCTTCCAAGGCATACTCAGATTTAGAATTAACACTGCTATACTACGTTACCAAAAGATTAGTCCTTTGGCCATAACTCTGCTTTGGAAAATGGAGCAATGCAAAACTGGATCCTAACTCTGCAGACATTTAAGCCCTGATCTTGCAAGTTCATACATTCAAGCTCATGCATCATGAGGTGTATTAACAGGAGTGTTGTAAGACACAGGAGGTAACTACCCTGCTCTACTCAGCACTGATGAGGCCTCAGCTGGAGTACTGTGTCCAATTCAGATTGCCAAACTTTAGAAAGGATGTGGGCAAATTGGAGAGTCCAGAGGAGAGCAACAAAATTGAGAAAAGGTTTAGAAAACCTGACCTTCGAGGAAAAGTGCAAAAAACTGGGCATGTTTAGCCTTGAGCAAACTGAGGGGGAACCTGATAAGTCTTCAAATATGTTGAGGGCTTTATAAAGAGGACTGTGATCATTTGTTCCCCATGTCCACTGAAGGTAGGAAAAGAAGTAAAGGGCTTAATCTACAGTAAGAGAGATTTAGGTTAGATATTAGGAAAAGCTTTCTAATTATCAGGGTAGTTATACTCAAGAATAGACCTCCAAGGAAGGTTGTGAAATTGCCATCATTGGAGATTATTTAAGAATAGACTGGACAAATACCTGTCAGGGATGGGCTAGGCTTATTTGGTCCTGCCTCAACACAGGAGGCTGGACTTGATGATTACTCAAGCTCCCTTCCAGCCCTACATTTGTATGATTCTATGAGGTGCAGAGGTCCACCTGTGACCTGTGCAGGATTTGAGGCCCTCTATACACACATGCAACTTTGCTCATGGGAGCAGTCCCATGGAGCAAAAGGAGCAAAGTTACACACATGCCCAAGTGTTTGCAGAATTGGGCCCTTTGTTTGTAGCTGGAACCTAGGACCAAATTCTGTCTATTACACTGCTAATAATATTACTTCACTGTTGCATAGCACTCTTCATCCACCGATCTCAAGCCACTTTACAAAGGAAAGTATCATTAGCCCTATTTCACAGATGGAGAAACTGAGGCACTGAGTCAAAATGATTTGCCTAAGGCCACCGGGTGAGAGTCAGACTCAGGAACAAGAACACAACTCTCTTGACTTGCAACTCTCCTAACTATGCAGTGCGACCATATGCCTCTTTCTAAGGCACTTGTAATCTTATACCTCAGATATATTTAGTCCGTTCTGCACTGTACCTCCAGCAGGCTTCCCTACATGTCAGAGGTTTCTGGATGCATCCAGTGCAGAATACGCTCTAATAATAGAAGCCTGTGACAATGAGGTCTGCTAATAACTGTCCTAGGCAAATGCTGTAAGGCCCATCTCTTGTACACTAGCTAACGGAGACCACTGCACTCTTGCAGTGACCTCCGGGCAGAGGACTCGATCATCTCATTGGGCTCTTCCATCTCTAAAGGTGTGATTGTCTCTCTCTAACACATGAACTTTGGCTCTCCTGCCAATTGTCCTAGGGGAGATAAAACACCCTAGTTACAACAGGTGACTCTTCTTATTGGAAGTCTTGGCTTTTAGTGAAAGGGGCCCCACTGCTCTTTGGATAACAGTTCCTACCTCTAAGAGTATGTCTTCACGCTACCACAAGCCTGGGTCTGTGGGACCTGCGCTTGTGGATTTGGGGTTTCCAAGTCCATGCTTGAGCATCCACGCTGCATGGTAAAGGTGGGTTTACAACTGCTGGACCTGGGTCTCATTGTCATGCTAAGGCATCCGTAACGCCTATGCAGAGCTTCTGACTCAGGTCTGTGTCCACACTGCAGAACAGAAGGCCCTGGACCCAGTCACCACAGGACTCAAGCTCTGACCCACCCCCTAGCAGGGTCCTAGGACCCAGGTCCTGCGGGCTTGCTGACTTGGGACTCATTTGTGTGCGGAGTAAAGGGGGGGCTGGGGCTCAGACCTGCATCAGAGGCTGGGTGCAAGGTACGGTGCAGACACGCTCCCGGGGGCTAACCGCTAGGGTGGAGCAGGAGCAGCCCCCACGGCTCGATCTCCCGGCCTGGGGCGGCCGGGCCAGCGGCGCTCAGTGCAAGGCGGGGCTGCTTTGCGGGACAGGCGGGGTGCCACGTGACCTGCCCCAGCTCACCTTCCTTCCCCCTGCCGAGGCCGATCACATGAGAGGCGCCCGGCCCAGGGCAGCCGCGCGGAGCATGGAGCTGGCGGGCGGGCGCTGCGCGCTCAGCCTGTGGCGGCGGCTGCTGCTGCTGGCGCCGCTGTGCTGCTTGCCGGCCCCGGGCGCCGCCGCCCCAGCAGGGCCCTCAGCCGTGGGTGAGTCTGGCGGGGCGGCCGGGGAGCCAGCGCTGAGCCGCAGCCGCCGGGCTTGTCTCTTCCTCCCCCCACCCCAGAAGAAGTGGGGCGGAGGGGCAGGGCTGGGGCCCCGGCTCGGTGGGGTTGTCGCCTGCAGCCAGACCCTCCCGACCGGGAGCGACCCCGACACAAAGGAGCTGCCAGTCAATAGCTCCAGCCAGCCGGGCTTGTTCCTGCCCCTCTCCCCCTTCACCCCCCCCCCGCCCCCCGGCTGCTGATTAATTGCAAAGCCCACGCTGAGAACGAGAGGCAGACGGAGCTCTCCTCCCGGGCCCCTGCTGCGGGGGGAGCTAGGGACTTCCCTCCCCCCCCCCCCCCTTAGGTGGCTCACTGGAGACACCTCACTAGCAGCCTGGGAAAGCTTTACATCCATCCCGCGTGGCTTGTCCCTGCCTCTGTGAACTGGCTCTGTGGCACGGCCACGTTCCCTCACCTGCTTTCGTATGTCCTCAGCCTCCCTCCTCCCTTCGCCCCTGGCTCTAAATCTCCAGAAACTTCCCTGCCTGGGGAAGCATTCTCCCCTCCCCCTTTCCTTTTTATACACTCCCCTCCCCCAGTTTGCTCTATTCTTCACCAATCGTACAATGCCATGCTGTTTACTTCCATTCCCAAGGCTGAGGCATTTGTGTGACTCCCAGCACTCTCCCAGATAAGTTTCAGAGGAACAGCCGTGTTAGTCTGTATTCGCAAAAAGAAAAGGAGTACTTGTGGCACCTTAGAGACTAACCAATTTATTTGAGCATGAGCTTTCGTGAGCTACAGCTCACTTCATCAGTGAGCTGTAGCTCACGAAAGCTCATGCTCAAATAAATTGGTTAGTCTCTAAGGTGCCACAAGTACTCCTTTTCTTTCTCCCAGATAAATCAATCAGCCGGTGCCTGCCCTGAGCAGAGCATGCTACAAGTAGGCTTGGCAGAATTCTATCTTTTGTTTTAAATAATATATAGAGGGAGAAGATCAATGTTTATTTTAAAATATTCCCCCCCCCCCAATTGTTGTTGATCTAAATTTTCACAGTTTGGGGAAATTATTGGGGGTGCGTGTCTGACAATGGGGGATCACACAATTATTTAATGATAGTAGACGTTAAGATTCAAAATCTTAAAGCTTTATAAGCATCCAAACACAAATTGTGACCATCACATGTCAAAATATACAAAAGTAAATATCCTTAAATCAAACTCTTAACTCTCAAGTAGCATTTTTCTTACTTTTCCTATCTGTAAATTTTTGACTAATACTGATGAACATAAGAACAGCCATACTGGGTCAGACCAATGGTCCATCTAGCCCAATAATCTATCTTCTGACAGCAGCCAATGAGAGGTGCTTCCGAGGGAATGAACAGAACGGGTAATCATTAAGTGATCTATCCCCGTCACCCATTCCAGCTTCTTGGCCTTCACAATATCCTCTGGCAAAGAGGTCCACAGGTTGACTATGTATTGTGTGAAGAAATACTTCCTTTTATTTGTTTTAAACATGCTGCCTATTAGTTTCATTTGGTGACCCCTAGTTCTTGTGTTATGAGAAGGAGAAAGAGCACTTCCTTATTTACTTTCTCCATACCAGTCATGATTTTACAGATCTCTATCGTATCCCCCCTCAGTTGTCTCTTTTCCAAGCTGAAAAGTTCCAGTCTTATTAATCTCTCCTCATATGGAAGCTGTTCCATACCTCTAAACATTTTGTTGCCCTTTTCTGTACCTTTTCCAATTTCAATATATCTTTTTTGAGATGGAACAACCAGATTGGGGTTTTTTTTGGTTGGTTGGTGTGTGTGTGTGTACAGTGAAATAGATGTTACTGACATTTACCAATAAAAAATCTAATCTTTCCAAAGCTGAGTATAGGTTATGTTGTCTGCATGATGTGTGGTTCAGACAATGGCATACAGGCTAGGTCCTGCATTACTACTTAATGCAATATGTCTGAAATGTATGTGTTTACATAATATAAACATTAACTATACCGCTATAATAAACATTAACTTGTGTTTTGCCTTTGGTCAGCAAAGCAAATTCCACATTTTCTATGTGTGATTTTATTTTTTTCCAGTTATATACATGTTTTAAAAGAACTATTGCTCCATACTCAGCTTCTGTGACTCATGCATCTCAAATGCAAACCTCTGCAAGTTTCCAGAAGACAAATTTTGCAACCATTAGCATAAATTGCAATATTACAATTTTCAAATGTTCACATCTTCTTTTTAAGTTCCTGAAATAAGTTTCTGGTTAAAGCATGCTAGGATGAGTCTGACTGGGGTTCTGTTCCCTGCTCTGCCATTGTCAGGCTGTGTGACCTTGGACAAATCACTTTGCCTCTATGCCTCAATTTCCCTTTTGTATAACAGAGATAATTTTCTCTTTTGTAAAGTGCGTTGAAATCTACAGCTTGAAAGGGCTATTTATTATCATATCTGAAATCTGAAGGTCGGTATTCCTATAATATGTAACTTTGTAATTAATCTTTTAGTTTAATATGCACCTAAAGTCCATTGGGTGCTTGTCTCTGCTTAGTGCTCAGGAACAGCAGTTGAAAACTTACCAGACACCTAGTAGCTAGAGACAGATACAAAAGATAAGTCTGGTAGAGCCTCCATGCGCTGGTAAGAAGTCTAGGCTGCCTGTTATCAGAGCTGCTGGGGAGAAGGTTGTTTCTGGACCCTAACAGGAGGCATCTTCTTTCCTATCCACCTTTGTATAGTATATGTCTGAAAAAATTAAAACTCCATCCTCCTCTAGCTGTTGGAAGGGAGAAGTGCTTTCTTTCTTTCTTTCCCCACACCCAGTGGTAAATAAGGAGGATCTCCATCACTCCACCCCATCTCATCCTCCAATTTTGGGTCATTTTCTGCTGCCCATACTTAACAGCTTTCTCAAGCAGAGGCAACAGAATGAAATGGATGTGATTCTTGGCAGTTTCAAACCACTCACACAGGCTCATGAACAGCAGCAGTGGGACTGATCACAGGTTTGTTAAGTTTCAGAATAACAGCCGTGTTAGTCTGTATTCGCAAAAAGAAAAGGAGTACTTGTGGCACCTTAGAGACTAACCAATTTATTTGAGCATAAGCTTTCATGAGCTACAGCTCACTTCATCGGATGCATACTGTGGAAAGTGTAGAAGATCTTTTTATATACACACAAAACATGAAAAAATACCTCCTCCCACCCCACTCTCCTGCTGGTAATAGCTTATCTAAAGTGATCACTCTCCTTACAATGTGTATGATAATCAAGGTGGGCCATTTCCAGCACAAATCCAGGGTTTAACAAGAAAGTCTGGGCGGGGGAGTAGGAAAAAACAAGGGGAAATAGGTTACCTTGCATAATGACTTAGCCACTCCCAATCTCTATTCAAGCCTAAGTTAATTGTATCCAATTTGCAAATGAATTCCAATTCAACAGTTTCTCGCTGGAGTCTGGATTTGAAGGGTTTTTTTTGTAATATAGCAACTTTCATGTCTGTAATCGCGTGACCAGAGAGATTGAAGTGTTCTCTGACTGGTTTATGAATGTTATAATTCTTGACATCTGATTTGTGTCCATTTATTCTTTTACGTAGAGACTGTCCAGTTTGACCAATATACATGGCAGAGGAGCATTGCTGGCACATGATGGCATATATCACATTGGTGGATGTGCAGGTGAACGAGCCTCTGATAGTGTGGCTGATGTTGTTAGGCCCTGTGATGGTGTCCCCTGAATAGATAGGTGGGCACAGTTGGCAACGGGCTTTGTTGCAAGGATAGGTTCCTGGGTTAGTGGTTCTGTTGTGTGGTATGTAGTTGGTGGTGAGTATTTGTTTCAGGTTGGGGGGCTGTCTGTAGGCAAGGACTGGCCTGTCTCCCAAGATTTGTGAGAGTGTTGGGTCATCCTTCAGGATAGGTTGTAGATCCTTAATAATGCGTTGGAGGGGTTTTAGTTGGGGGCTGAAGGTGATGGCTAGTGGTGTTCTGTTATTTTCTTTGTTAGGCCTGTCCTGTAGTAGGTGACTTCTGGGAACTCTTCTGGCTCTATCAATCTGTTTCTTCACTTCCGCAGGTGGGTATTGTACTTGTAAGAATGCTTGATAGAGATCTTGTAGGTGTTTGTCTCTGTCTGACGGGTTGAGCAAATGCGGTTGTATCGCAGAGCTTGGCTTTAGACAATGGATCGTGTGGTGTGGTCAGGGTGAAAGCTGGAGGCATGTAGGTAGGAATAGCGGTCAGTAGGTTTCCGGTATAGGGTGGTGTTTATGTGACCATTGTTTATTAGCACTGTAGTGTCCAGGAAGTGGATCTCTTTTGTGGACTGGACCAGGCTGAGGTTGATGGTGGGATGGAAATTGTTGAAATCATGGTGGAATTCCTCAAGGGCTTCTTTTCCATGGGTCCAGATGATGAAGATGTCATCAATATAGCGCAAGTAGAGGTTTGTTAAGTTTACTCTGCTCCTGTTTAGCAAAACTTTGAGGGGCAACAGAAGCACCGGAGCAGTCTGCAGATTTAGGATTACAACACTGCATCTTGTACATTCAGTTCACATTTGCAAGTTGTCGTTGTAATCATGAAGGCAAGAAATTTAGTTTTTAAAATGAAAGCTTAAAGTCAGCAAACTTGATGGCATAGGCCCCACATTCACCAGGGCTAGTTTCTCAATCTCAGTTGATAAATAGATTTGTGAAGCATGGGCGAAAGAGGATGATGTTGACTCTTACATCAATCTTAATGCAGACTGTAAGGAGAAACTCAGCTCCTTGGCAAGAGAGAGTCATTTTCATTACTGTTTGTTTTCTAAAAACAGGGCAGTTCTGGCATGTATCCGACTTGCATTTAGACCCTACTTACCACATCACTGGCGATCACACCAAAGTTTGTTCTTCTTCCAAAGGGGCTAATGCCTCCAACCCTGGACCTTTTGGAGATTTTTTCTGTGATTCTCCTTATCAACTTATTTTATCAGCCTTTAAGTATATGAAAGAGTCTGAACAACAAGCTTCCTTCATGATATGGACAGGGTAAGTAATGGAGTCAGTCAATAGCTACCTTGTTAGTGAAACACTTTGAAGAGTTGGAAGACCATAGTGCACTAGTTTTAAATATTCAAACATTTGTTTCTGTTTGCAGCAATACATTTGAGTCTGATGCCTTTTAAATGCTGCTTCTGTCTGCTCCGCTTGCATTGTCTGAATTACTAACAAGTAGGGCTATAAGCAAGTGATTAATGTAAAACAAATTAATTAAATTAAAAATATTCATGATTAATCAAAATTTTAATCACACAGTTAATAATAGAATACCAATTTAAATTTTATTATATTATTTATTATATTAAATATTTTTGGACGTTTTTCTACATTTTCAAATATTGATTTCAATTACAGCATGGAATATGAAGTGTACAGTGCTCACTTTATTACAAATATTTGCACTTAAAAGATAAAAGAAGTAGTATTTTTCTATTCACCTCATACAAGTACTGTAGTTCCTCTTTATTGTGAAAATGCAACTTACAAATGTAGAACTTTTTTTTTACATAGCTGCACTCAGACAAAACCATGTAAAACTTTAGAGCCTACAAGTCCACTCAGTCCTACTTCTTGTTCAGCCAGTCGCTAAGACAGACAAGTTGGTTTACATTTACGGGAGATAATGCTGACTGCGTCTTATTTACAATGTCACCTGAAATTGAGAACATGCGTTCACATGGTACTGTTGTTGCAAGGTATTTATGTGCCAGATATGCTAAACATTCATATGCTCCTTCATGCTTTGGCCACCATTCCAGAGGACATGCTTCCGTGCTGAATTTAAATTGGTATCTACTGTTGTTTAACAGTGTGATTAAAACTGTGATTAATGATGATTATTTTTTAATCGATTAATTGCAGGGTTTTTTTAATCATTTGATATCCCTACTAACAAGTTGCAAGACTGACTGAATGTTTAAGATTTGTAGGTGCAGTGGAATAATTTATTCATATTGTATGTTGACCTGGTTATTGGGATGTTTACTGTCTAAATATATTTGAATAGTTCAATACTGGCTGTTGGCAAAAACAAGCAAGAGGGAAAAAGAAATAAAGAACAAATTTTTAACAAGGGTGATTAGCCACTGGACCAAACTGCCAAGAAAAGTGGTGAATTCTCCATCTCTTGGGAGACTGGATGCCTTTCTGTGCTTTAGCCAAACACAAGTTATTGGGCTTAATACACTTAATACAGGGATAAATGGATGAAATTTAATGGCTTGTGTTACTTAGGAGGTCAGGCTAGATGATTTAATAGTCCCATCTGACTTTAAACTCTTAAGAATCCATGAAAAAGAATGACTCAAAAGAAGCCACTTCTCTGCAAACACTTGTGGGTGTTAAGAGACAATAATGCCAGGATAGGAAGAGACCCAGGAGCATAGGTGATCAAAAGAACTGTGGCAGGTTTAAAAAGAAACATACTCTCAAGCACGAGTGGAGTAGTTTGTGGGAACCAGGCTGAGACAAAGGCACCCACTGGGGAGTCTGAAGAAGTTAGGCCTGCCAGGTTACCATCAGATCATAGAATCATAGAATATAAGGGTTGGAAGGGACCCCAGAAGGTCATCTAGTCCAACCCCCCTGCTCGAAGCAGGACCAATTCCCAGTTAAATCATCCCAGCCAGGGCTTTGTCAAGCCTGACCTTAAAAACCTCTAAGGAAGGAGATTCTACCACCTCCCTAGGTAATGCATTCCAGTGTTTCACCACCCTCTTAGTGAAAAAGTTTTTCCTAATATCCAATCTAAACCTCCCCCACTGCAGCTTGAGACCATTACTCCTCGTTCTGTCACCTGCTACCATTGAGAACAGTCTAGAGCCATCCTCTTTGGAACCCCCTTTCAGGTAGTTGAAAGCAGCTATCAAATCCCCCTCATTCTTCTCTTCTGCAGGCTAAACAATCCCAGCTCCCTCAGCCTCTCCTCATAACTCATGTGTTCCAGACCCCTAATCATTTTTGTTGCCCTTCGCTGGACTCTCTCCAATTTATCCACACAGAACTCCAGATGAGGCCTCACCAATGTCGAATAGAGGGGAATGATCACGTCCCTCGATCTGCTCGCTATGCCCCTACTTATACATCCCAAAATGCCATTGGCCTTCTTGGCAACAAGGGCACACTGCTGACTCATATCCAGCTTCTCGTCCACTGTCACCCCTAGGTCCTTTTCCGCAGAACTGCTGCCTAGCCATTCGGTCCCTAGTCTGTAGCTGTGCATTGGGTTCTTCCGTCCTAAGTGCAGGACCCTGCACTTGTCCTTATTGAACCTCATCAGATTTCTTTTGGCCCAATCCTCCAATTTGTCTAGGTCCTTCTGTATCCTATCCCTCCCCTCCAGCGTATCTACCACTCCTCCCAGTTTAGTATCATCCGCAAATTTGCTGAGAGTGCAATCCACACCATCCTCCAGATCATTTATGAAGATATTGAACAAAACCGGCCCCAGGACCGACCCTTGGGGCACTCCACTTGATACCGGCTGCCAACTAGACATGGAGCCATTGATCACTACCCGTTGAGCCCGATGGTAAGCCTTTAGGTCAGACACGCGTATAGACTATTTTAAAATATTTTTTCTCTAAATGCATTGTTCCCATTGACAAAATAAACAACACTTTGGTTTGAGAAGGCTGTCTGATCACTGGATACTTCTAGTCACAGACTCCTGAAGGGGAGACCTATAGGTACCTGAACGCAGTCAGACCTTCCTGTATCCATGGTAACCTCCTATGTGATTTTCATCTGCTACGTTTTCTCTATCTGCAGTACTTCTCTGTCCTTCATTGTGTGGTGTGGCTGGTTAAAAAAGATACCCGCTTTATAATGCTGCCCTCATCGTCTCTTAACAACTGAAGGACCAGGCAGTCTTTGGTTTGAATCTGCATATTGGGTTCATACTTATGTGGTGAACAGGACTGGGTCAGGCCAGGCTACTACTCAGATGGGAGACTTTCAAGAAAAAATCAGGTTGTGAGGAAAATTCCGGAGGAACCCCTCTCCTCTTTGAGTCAGTCCTGAACTGATAACTCAGTATTATGCTGGTGGTGGTGGTGCTCTTTGTGATGAGAATTAGAACAAACCCGCCCACTTATCAACAAAGGCTGCTCCGGTGGTTGAAGCACTGGCCCGGGATGCAGGAGAGCAGGGTTCAATTCCTGTGTTGATCCCGGGCAAGACACTTACTCTGTCTGTGCCTCAGTCCCCCATTTGTAAAATGGGGGTAATGATACTTCCCATTATTACTGGGATGCTGTGAAGATAAATGCTTATGAAGCATTTGAACACTGTGATGATGGGGGCCATGTCAGTAGTTAAACAGGACTACCATGGTATTTTCGGTAAGAACTCGAAGTGATTAGTTTGGTGTCCTAGCAAAAATACCACATTCTACCTACCTACAATTCCCTCTTCAGTGTAAATTAGTGGATGCTTTATTTTTAGTGGTGGGTATTTATTTTAGTGATGGGTAGTGATGCTTATGATTACTGGTTTGTCTTTGTGTTTCAGGGTCTTTCGAGCTAAAAGGTGCTATGTAAATTCAGGGGTAGGGTGTTGACAAGTGTATATATAAACAGACCAGTCTAGATTAACCCACTGCAGTTTATTTTCAACAGAATGGGAGGGAAATAAATAACACCTCCGCCCCCTGCCCTTAAATGTCTTATGGGGGGAGGGGGAGTGAAGGAATGAAATCCAGATTACATATCCACTCTGAGTGGGTTGGTTTGATTATGAGAAGTCTTAATAGTGGTAAGTATTTATCATGGGATTCTCTGTTAAACATGGAACCTATTTATAAAGGGGGGAAAGGAGGGACTTGGCAGGGACCCTCTCAGACAATACACTAGCTTTTTATTTGAGTTCTGTAGCAGTATTCCAGGCCAGAATTTAGGTGCATTGGCAGAGTTGTTCAGAACAACAAATGAGGAGTTTTTTACAGAGTTGTAACTACTTTGACACTTATGAAGTCCTCTTCTTTTTAGGGATAGCCCACCTCATGTTCCAGTGGAGGAACTCTCCACAAAGATGGTCATTAATGTTATTGGCAATATGACTTCTACCATTCAAAGTTTCTTTCCAGATCTCCAGGTGTTTCCTGCTTTGGGTAATCATGACTACTGGCCACAGGTAAAATGAGTTTTTAGGAATATGAGCAGATGGGCTTCTTTACCAGAATGGCTGAGTCTAATTAAAAGAGCTGGAACACTGCAATAAAAATGAAATTGTGTGTGTGTGTTTGTGAGTTATACTGGAAGCATACCCTATGATTGTCCAGTTTACACCTAGATCTTCAGAGTGTAAATATTTCCAAACTACAGTGATGTAAAGTACAACTTTCTCTGTGTGTAAAGTTACCTGAACTAATGTTGATGTCAGATCAAATCTTTCTGTTGACCATATGGTATTGCAAACTGACTTAGATAAATTGGATGCTTACAAATCATGAAACCACTACCTCATATACACAATTTATTTTAATTTCATTTTTTTATGCTGGGTAAATCATGCATATGTATGTAATATTTGAGCTCAGTACTACAGGTGGCATCCTTAATGGGATCTGTCAGTGTGCCAGTAATATTCAAGGCCTGCTTAAAAGCTCATTGGGAGTGTGTCCATTGACTTCACTTTGGACATTGGATCAGGACTGTGTACATTTTTTGTAATTAATTTCCTCTGCTTTCTAATGGTGACATAAAACAAAAAAAACCTGACAATGTAAAATCCCACTGTTCCTTCACTAATATCAAAAATTGCATTAGTAGTTTTTGGTCTTGTTTGGGACTGCTACAGATATTTCCACTGACAAGTTATTGGTCCCATAGTTCATTCCAGTCTGGCACAATGCCTTTCTGACTTCCACATTGTGTTAGCAATGTTGTTCTTGGCATAGATGAAAACATAGTGAACACTAGAAACTGAACATATTCACTAAACATATTTCAAAGTTAATCCAGCAGTTCAAAGGAGTAAGGGCCGAATTCTCCCACCAGATCTCAGGGGCAGAGGTAGATCTTATATAAGCAGATCAGTTGCAGTAATTTGTTTTTAAATATTAGCTAGGACTCTGTAAGATCCTCCCACACTCTAAACAGTCCTTTTTCCCCCCAAGCAGCATTCTGTATGTCCATTAGCCCTAACGCGGGGAGAGGGGTTAATATAATACATAGTTACATCTGTTTCTCCCCTTTGCCTAAATGAAATTTAGATTTGTTTGGCTTTTTTTTTTAAAGGAATATCAACGTTTAGGGAGAATAACTGACATGCAGCAACCTCCTGAGATCTAGAGGAAGATAGCTTCATACAAATACTCTCATTTACATCGACTGATGTAAATTCTCAGTGCAGACATTGGCATTTATGTAATGGGCACCCTGCATGGTGAATGTGAGTTGTGTTTGTAAAGCGTATGCAATATAACACATTGAAATATAGTAAACTAGGACAGATAAATATCATGCTCCAAAAACTTGTTTGCTGTTTAAAGTGAAACTGCACCTATTTCCCTCAGCTTTGCACGAAAACATGTGAGTATTTATTATATGGCATTTCATTTTGAAATATCAGACTTCATTGATGTGCAGAATTGCCATTTTTTTTCCCCATAGTTTGAATCATGTGGGAGTATACAAGAGAGACACTGTTTGTACAAAATGTGAGGGTATTGGAGGTTTGTATGGGCTATATTTCTATAGGCACTTGCTTACTATTGGCACTATGTGCCACAAACTGACATTGATGTGGCACAGCACATATAGCTGCTGTTGCAGTCCAAAAGCAGGAGTGAAATATGCCCCAATATGCTGAACACCAACTGATTGAGTAAAGCTACTTAATGATCTTTGGTCCTTTCCACATATTTTGCAATAAGAAAAGTATCAACAGATTAATATATCATTGAATAGTCTTTCAGTCTTTGTTGTCACATTGGCCCTCTTGCACAAGCCTACCTGGTAACTCCAGTTAGACCAGGCTTCCTAATTTAGCGTGTAATCCAAATGTACACAGAACACAACCCTCTGTTTGGGAGCCAGATCGAAGCCTCCTTGAACACACAATTCAGCCTCAAATCTGGAGCTAGATTTAAGCATATCTGTTGGATGAACACTAACCATATATTTGACCAGTGCAGTTCTGGAAATTCCTTTCACAGAAACAAAAACGTGTGATACATGCAACAAAAAGATATAGACTGGTTTTTGATAGCTGTACGTGCATGCAAAGACTTGAAGATGCTTTGTCCACAGACCTTGAGACAAGAGTGAGAGTCAAAAACAAAATGTTTTGTGAATCAGAAAGGTGTCATTTTCATCCTGCCTCAAAAAGAAAAACAAATTTTGAAACTTTGAAATTTTTTGTGCAACCAAGTTGTTAAGCCCTAATCCTATTGCTTTAAATTTTTCTGGCACTCATTTACTAGTGGTGTTAAATGCCATAGAAAAGAGACTTCACATTCAGTTCTGACTGAAATTCAGGTATTTGGTTCTGATTATTTGAACCTGGACCTCTGACAGCCCTGGAGAGTGCCCTAACCACTAGGCTATTCTGGAATGGGGGGAGGGGGTGGATGTTTGTTTCCACAAAACGTTTTGGTTTTGACTTTTATGTGAAAAAGTTTTATCAACATCTTTAACTAGGACTGCTGCACTTTCATCTGACCCAAGCAATGCTCACGTGCATGAGATGAGATGAGAACTCTCTCATCAAACTTAGACAGAAGATGGAAAGTTTTTTCCCCTAAAAAAACCTGTTTACATTTTTAGCTTGGGAGCAAAAGAGGGCTGGGGAAAATAGCATTATGGTGGTTTTCAGATTTGTTGAAATAAAATGTAAAAAATTAAACTTTGTCGGCACTTGGGGTAGAATCTCTTGTCTCAAGGTCTGTGGACAAAGGATCTTTAGGCTTTGCATGTAAGTAGGGCCATAAAAATCTTTTTGTTGCATGCACCACATATCTTTCTGTTACTGTGAAAGGAATTTCCAGAGCTACACTGGTCATCAGTGATATCTTGTAGTCAGAAAAGTACCTTAAGCTCCCACTCCTTACTACTCTACAGAAGTAACTGGATGAGATTCTATGGCCTATGTTTTCCAGGAGATCAGATCAGATGGTCCCTTCTGGCTTTAAAAATCCATGAATTTGTGTGTCAGAGTGATGAAAGTTCTGTTTTTTGGCAGGATCAGCTGCCTGTATCTGCCAATGAAGTTTACAGTGCAGTAGCAAATTTCTGGAAACCTTGGCTAACTGATGAGGCAATCAGTACCTTCAAGAAAGGTAAAATATAGTAGCTACATTTTGTAAAACTAATGTTGAGAGGACTGACAGTTCTATAGATTTTCCCTCTCCACTTCACTAAACTGCAAGGATGAATCAGTGCAATGGAGCATCTGGCCCAGTTTCTCCAGAGGTAAAAGAGTTTTTGCTATATAGCAATTCCTGTCTACAGTTAATCCTGTAGAGAGACTTTATTCTTGTTCTAGTGTAATAATAATTCCCTGCTTTGGGTAGCACTTACAATGTTGTAAGCTTTGTACAAACATAAGAGACTCACTCTCTTCATGGAAGAGTTCACAATCTAAAATAAGAGCATAACTATCAAGGAAGGGTATGGGAAGCCATAGTTACACTCGTACTTAAAGAAAAATTGAAGAGTAATTGTTTGTTTACTTTGAGGCTACTTGCAATTCAAAGAGAAAGTTTCAAAGGTCTAGTAACACCTTTATGCAAAGTGAGGTGCTAGTAAATAATCACTGGGATTATACAATTAATTAAAATGTTCCATATCTAATTTAATCAGATGTAGGCTGATACAATAATGATTTTTTTTTTAAACCAACGGGCTGACAAACTCAACTCAATTTCCAACCCCCACAAACACTGTGAGTTCGGAAGTTTAATTTGAACTGGAGTATTTGGGGGTTGGCATTCTGAATAGGAGAGACTGGGTAAGAAGGACTTGAGAGCAAGAAGGGAAAGCAAGAAGAGAGCAAGAAGAGAAAAATAACACACACAGGGGCAGATCCTCAGATGGTGTTAATTGAAGTCAGTGGAGGTATACTAGCCAAGGGATCCGCTCCACAACATCTGTAGTAGAACCTCAGAGTTAGGAGCATAACTCTGAAATGTTCACAATGCCGAACAAAATGTTACGGTTGTCCTTTCAAAAGTTTACAACTGAACATTGACTTACTGCAGCTTTGAAACTTTACTATGCAGAAGAAGAATGCTGCTTTCCCTTTATTTTTTTAGTAGTTTACGTTTAACACAGTAGTGTACTGTATTTGGTTTTGTTTTTTGTTTTTTTGGTCTCTGCTGCTGCGTGATTGCATACTTCTGGTTCCAAATGAGGTATGTAGTTGACTGGTTAGTTCATAACTCTGGTGTTCGTAACTCTGAGGTTCTACTGTATGCTGTAGAGTAGAGGTGGGCAAACTATGGCCCATGGGACTGTCTTGCCCGGCTCTCGAGCTCCCGGTTGGGGAGGCTAGGGCTACCCCCCTCCCCGGTAGCCTCAACTCGCTGCGCCGCCCGCACTCTGGTCCACCGCTCCTGCCAGGAGCACAGTAAAGTGGCTGCGAGCTCCTGCCGCTCTGAGCGGCATGGTAAGGGTAAGGGGGCAGGGAGCAGGGGGGTTGGATAAGGGGTAGGAGGTTCCGGGGGGCAGTCAGGGGACGGACTGGGGGCGGTTGGATGGGGCGGGGCGGTTGGATGGGGCAGGGCGGTCAGGGAATGGGGAGCAGGGGGGGTTGGATAGGCGTGGGAGTCCCCGAGGGGCCTGTCAGGGGGTGGGGGGCTGAATAGGGGTTGGGGCCATCAGGGGACAGGGAGCAGGGGGGGGGGTGGATAAGGGGTGGGATGGATCCCAGGGGGAAGTTAGGGGAGGGGGTCCTGGGAGAGGGCAGTCAGGGGACAAGGAGCAGCGGGCTTGGATGGGTTGTGGGTTTTGAGGGGGGCAGTCAGGGGGCAGGAAGTGGGAGGGGGCAGGGGCCAGGCTGTTTGGGGAGGCACAGCCTTCCCTACTGGGCCCTCCATACAGTTTCACACCTTGATGTGGCCCTTGGGCCAAAAAGTTTGCCCACCGCTGCTATAGAGGGTTGGCCAGAGTCGTGGGTTAATTTTTTCACACTACTGCACAACGTAGGCTTCCTTTCATGAGCCAGAATGGATGGAAAAAACATTGTATTTTTCTTTAATTGGATCTCTGTTTTGGAAATCAGACGTCCTATAGCTACAGGAAAATCAGTGAACTCACACAATGCTAATGAGAATCCCCCCAAATGTCTAGGATATTATTGTTGCATTTAGCACCACTTATGCAGTTATCCAATTCATACACACATGCAAATTGACAAATAAAGGGCAAAAAGTAGAAGTGGTCCTAAAAAATGCCCTGTGTCATTTTCCTCACCTCTGAATGATATTGAATACAGTGAAATCAACTAGATTACTTGAGAAATAAGATGTTGCTCGATATGAGGAAACATTTCAGAATCTGGTTGATAGAAGTCTTACTATTATAACTGTCAGCTTAGTCCTTTCACGTTAAACTTGTGTTTTGAAAGCATTCTTCCTCTGTTGATCTTGTTTTCACAGGTGGCTTTTATACCCAACTCTTTCAATCCAGTGTTAGCCCTCAACCACTCAGGATAATCAGTTTGAACACAAATCTATATTACAGTCCCAACCATGTGACTCTGAATATAACTGACCCGGCCAACCAGTTAGTGTGGTTGGAGAGCACACTAGAAATCTCTCTTCAAAAGAAGGAGAAGGTAGGCATTACACGCAGAATACAATGAATCAACTCAATGTCAGTAGTAGTATCCATCATATCTATTTGTGTAAATTGAAAGAAAGCTAGCAAAAGGAAAAGAGAAAGAAGTGAATCAAGTTTCAGGGCTATTTTAGAATTTGCAATTGATTTGACAGGGCAGAGGCTTTAAGAAATGTATATTTGCTACCCGCTACATGCAGTAGTGAGCAATAGGAAAGAAAAAAGAGACCTGACTGTAGTCTTACTTATACAGGTTTAATATCATTATAACTCTGACCTCACTCCTGATCTGTGTTGGTGAAAGTGAGATCAGAATCATGTCTGCATTATAAGGACTATTACAGTACTTTCCTAGCCCAGGAAATCCAAAATGGAATTATCCACAAAACTACAAGACTTGATGCAGAGGACGTCTCTGCTATTTAAATGGGAACTTGGTTGAAAAGTTGCATCTGTAACATGGTACCAAAGAACATGGGTATGTTTGTACATGTACTTGAAGTACAAATATTACATTCTTTCCCTTTAGCAGATAATACACATGAAAAGCATGTCTTATATTTCACAAACTCTGTCCTTATTGCATACACAAAATGTTGTTCAGGTTACTAAGCATGCAGAAGTAAGGAAATGAAAGTTAAAATTGTGTATACAGTTTTGTCCCCCATGTGGAAACATTGGCTACAATATTTAATCAAACAGTCATATGCCATTTCTTAAACCTTACAATAAAATATCAAACAATTTTGGAACATAAAACAGTTCAAGAAAACAGCACAAAGTTTTTTGTTTTGTTTGTTAATAATGGAACAAGTATATTTTTTTCACTCTCCTTGTCTCCTAAATGACTGAAATCTTTTTTGCACAGCCTTTCCCAAAATATTCACACTAGTCCAAAGAACAATGCTAAAAAATGTCACCATGGCAAATATTTTTCGAAAAATTGTGAATGTTCAAAAAGAAAGGCTTAGAAGGGAAATGTATGTAGCTTTAGTTTTAGGAGTTGCCACTTCCCTAATATTGTAATAAATGTATTTGCTTATGCTCATTTTCTGATGTAAGGTTACTAAATATTGGTTCATAATTACTTTACACTCTGTTACTAACTACTCATGCTTGCTTATAACAAAACTAACTTACAGTAGTCAGACTGACAAAGTCTTTCAAAGACCGCATTATTATGAGACTCAGTGTTAATCAGTTCTAGGCTAAAGCTGAAAATGTTTGCTTCATATGAGGATGCTAATTGTGTTGTATTTATCTGATTTTTAGGTATATGTGATAGGACATGTGCCAGTAGGATATCTGCCTTTCACAAGGAACATTACTGCCATAAGAGGATATTACAATGAGAGATTAGTAAAGATTTTTCGCAAGTATAGTGATGTTATTGCTGGACAGTTTTTTGGACATACTCACAGAGATAGCATCATGATCCTTCTGGATGAGAAAGGTAATGATGTTTGTAGAATACAAGTGTCTTTGCTGCATCCTTTCCTGATTGGCTCCAAGTAAAAGAATGTTCTGGTGTATATTGGGGCCAGTCAAAGTCTGGTGTGAATTATTTTTAAAAAGAAATGGGGATGAAAATGCTATTTATTTATTTTTTATCAAGGTTGTTGAACACTTACGACAACACTGTATAAATGCTGTTCTCCCCAAATTCCTGTAATGAGAACTGAGCAGAAGAACCTCACATTGTATTGTAAGACAGACTGTCCACATTTTCCTTTTCTACTGATATTAGAAGAGGCTTTCTAAGTGTCACTCTTTTAATGAACGCCAGTAATTCCTAGACAAGCATCACTAGTCTTTCCTCTCCTCTCTTTCAGTGACATGGTCAAATTGCACTGGCCAGTTCCTATTGTGTGTTATGTATGTCAAAGGGAATGTTCTCAGGCCAAGGAAACATGTCCTGCTTTTTGTGTTTCCTGCATCATTATTGAACCCCTCTCATGGGTTCCCTGCTGCTTCAAAGTTAATTAAGATAAGGGGCGGGGGTTGGGAAAAGAAATCTCTGCTTGTGCCATCTTCTTGATCAGGTGATTTCTCTTTGGGATAAGCACCTAGCTTTGAAGGTTTTGCATTGTGCTCTGAAATAACTTATTTTTAAGAGTCAGAGTGGCTACAAAGGATGTTGTTTCTAATAGAAATCGCTGCTTAAATATTTGTATCTATACCATAGAACAGTGACTTCGGTGCCTGAGTTCGTTACAGTATCTATAAACTTACCATAATTGACTCCACATTTATAATAGGTTTTATACGAATTTCTAAAAACAATCCTAAAACCCTTAATTGAATCAGCTCTGCACTCTAAGTCACTGTCCTCTTAACATAGACCAATTTCACATTGACACCCCAATAAGAAGGAATCACACCAAGTGAGAGAACCACCTTTAGAGAGTTTGTTCTTACCATGTCTGTTAAGGCAGTGTTTTGCCCAGATGATGTTCCCAGGGCTGGCTGCACATTTAATTAACTGACTACACATCCAAACTTCAGTACGCGGGACAGACCAACCTTGCTGCTTTGTCACTGCAGTTTGCATTATGCAAGTCACTCTGCTTCAAAATCTGTTTTATTGTCTTGTTCCTCTGACAAAAATAGGCACTTACATGTCTAATCTTGCTAACTATGACTTTGCTCTTTTCAGAGTGTGTTCTCATTTCAGGCATTTGTTTATTGACAAAGCTTTGCTGAATTCAAGCTCAATTGGAATTTGCAGGCAAAATCCATGTATTGAGATACAGAGTCCATTTTATCTCCTTCAGAAGAATCTGCTGGCTTTCCAGCACCGTTCTTCAGCTTTCAGAGCTCCTACTCGCTTGTGGCCTTCAACACTGTTATGTTGGCTGCATAAAGGAATATCTAACTTTCTTCATAGAGATGCTCTAAATACATGTACCTGTGTATTTTCGCTACTGAAAGTCCTCAAATATCCTCCCTTTGACTTGCTGTAAAGAGCAGGGTAGACATAACAGATGCCAGCAGGGATTTCTCTCAGAGTCTGGTTAGGTGAGCTTCAGGGCAAATTGTTGTAGGCTCCTGGCTTTCTGATAATGCAAAAAACATGAAGGAAGCTGCATGTAAGACATAAGTTGAAGATAGCTCTGATCTGTGTCCTTTGTTGAGGCTTGTCACAGATCAGGGCACCTGTACCTGAATTCCCCCTCCATGGTTCAGCAAGGGCACCCACGCTCAGGCTTCTGGCTCCCCAGCTATCAGCTCTCTTGGGTGGAGACGTCTCCTGAGTTCCCTCGAAGCTTTGCGGCCATGCAGCAGCCTATTAAGCTCTGTGCAGGCGCTCAAGGCTGCAGTGGGGAGAGGCGCCTCTCCCCATCGGCCCCAGCCAAGCCCCGGACCTGCCATGATCAGGGAAGAAGCACCTCTCCCCACCAGCCCTAAGCCAGCCCCCCTCCCCCGGATCTGCTGGGGTAGAAGCACCCCTTCCCCAGCTGCAGCCCAACCCACAGAGAAGCGCCTATCCTGCGGCCCCAACCCAGAGCTGCTGTTGCAGGGAGAGGTGCCTCTTCTCCTTTCGCCCCCAGCCCAGGTGCTGCTCAGGGAAAGAGAGCTAGGGGGAGTCCTTTCTCCACACTGTAGCCCCAAGGCAGCCTGCACTCCAAACCCCTCAGCCCCGGCCCCACCTCAGAGCCTATACCCCCAGCCAGAGCCCACTCCCCACAACCCTCTGCCCCTGCCCTGAGCCCCTCATCCTCGGCCCCAACTCAGAGCCTGCATCCGCAGCTGGAGTCCTCACCCCACGGCATCCCAAGCCTCTGCCCTAGCCCTGAGCCTCCTCCCACGCTCTGAATCCCTTGGCCCCACCCCCACCACATTAATTTTGTTATGTGCACCAACAATATGGAGGTGATGTGTAATACATCGCCTCCATATTGGTGCATGTAACAAAATTCATTCTGCACGTGCATGGGAAAAATTAGAAGGAACACTGGATGTGTCTCTCTCCTTCCTGACCAGGGTATTTCCAGGCTGCGCAGCTCCCTGCTTAAACTGAGTTCCCCAGCAAATCAGACTGCTGGAGCAGGCCTGCTTTGCCTTCTCCTCAGAGGCTATAGGCAGCATAATTACCTACAGTTAAGTTACACCCAGCTCTTTCTAAGCAAGCACATTTATTCTGAAGGTAAAAGCATTATAGAGAAAATATATTAAAAAAATAAAAGGAAGGATTGGGGTCTCCCTTGGACAGTTCAAACTCAAGCTGTTTATCCAAAAGTCCTTTCTCTGATGGTTGGTTCTCTAGAGAATCCAGTCTGAATCAGTATATGTGAATCTTTCTTGGTGGTGGTAGCTCCCTGGAGGTATTATAACCTGAGTAAATTTGCCTACTCACTCCCACATTATTCATAGTTCCTGGAGGACTGTTGTTCCCATCCCCCATGGAATTGCATACAATCCCTGGCCCACAATGATACATAGACTTAATTCAATAAGGACCTGAAGAAAAGCTCTGTGAATCTCAAAAGCTCTTCCCTTTCACCGCAGAAGTTGGTCCAATAAAAGAAAAATGATCTCACCCACTTTGTCTCTCTTCAGTGAGGTGGTGCAGGAAATTGCCATATCTGTCACCAGGCTAACAACAGAAATGCACTGGATACGTCGGGCATTGCTACATTCTGGATTGTTGTGCCAATGTAGCTATTCTGGTGCAAGTCTCCAGTGTAGATGCCCTGCATTGAGGTAAAGCGGAGTTTATATGGGTGAGACTTATCTAGGTTTGTACCAGCACAGCAACTCTATGCTGGGCGGTTGCACTGATATAGCTACTCCTGTGCAAAAGTCCCTAAAGTACCTAAGCCAAGCACCCTAGGTCTTGTCATCTTTGTTCTCAAATGTAAATAATGCATTTCTGAAAGCATTTACCCTAAAGGGAATGATTATTTCCCAATTTTTTTTTCAGAAAACCCAATAAATTCCTTGTTTGTAGCACCTGCTGTGACACCAGTGAAAAGTGTGGTGCAGAGAGAGTCCAACAATCCTGGAGTCAGACTGTATCAATACGATCCTCTTCATTATAGCTTGTTGGTATGTGAAGATTAAAAGAATTGTGTTAGTGTTAAGTATTAAAATAGCTATAGCTCAAGCCTTTTTCATACTGGGTGTCCTGCTGCCAGATTGGTGCTGGGTTCTGTCTCCTCAGTGATAGGCGGAGAAGGGTGTGGGGAGGAAAGGAAAAATCTTCAAATAGGAACTATGCAACCTTTACTGAGCCTGAAAGATCCACTTCCCATTTTCTTTCTGCTGCGTAAACCCTAGAACACAGAATAAGAGTCAGAAAAAAGCCGTGTTCAGCCGTGGAAAAGGCAGGTAAAATCCTGGCACGTATGGATAGGTGTCTCTTTAGACACACGTGAGCTTTGGTGATAGAGACCATAACTTTGGTGCACTTAGTCTGGCACTGTATAAAACACTTTCAGAGAACTTCCAGAAGGTTCAGGGTGAAATCCTGGCCTCACTGGAGTCAATGGCAAAGCTTATGTGCATATCTGCTGCCCATTTCTTACATGACCCTCGTTCCTGCAAGTCTTCATTTCCCTACATTCTTCCCATGGCCTCCACTGGCCACCCATCCATATGCCACCAAATGGTGCCTGGGGAAAAGTGAGTTCAGCCCTTACTATGCTTTTCTGCCTATATGTAGCCTAGATCTGGTTTTAACATTCATTTGGCCAGCCCACCAGAGATGTGCAAAAGGGACTTTGGTTTACCCTCTTCTTTGAAGGAAAGCACCTCCAATAACGTAGCTACCTCATTTGTGTCTCTGTTCTCTTTCCTCCTCCCACCATTACTGCAATGCAAGTGCCAGCTTATGGTGTGAGCCCAACTCTTGGGGTGGGGCATGACCTTTTATTCATTTGTGAATAATAAGCAGTGACAGCTTCCTAATCAATATATCATTCAAGAAACTTAATGAAGCAAGCAATACAACTGTGCCTCCCCCCCCTTTTTTTTAAACGTGTAGGACCTTTGGCAGTTTTACTTGAATCTCACAGATGCCAACATGAAAAATGAATCGAACTGGAAACTAGAATACATCCTGACCAAAACATACGGTATTGAAGACTTGAAGCCAGAAAATTTATATGAAATGGCAAAGCAATTCACTGTGCCACACAGCAAACTGTTTCAACAATATTACAATAATTTCATTGTGAGTTATGACAAAAGCATTGTCTGTGAAGGGGACTGCAAGACCAGCCAGATATGTGCAATGCAGTATTTAGATCGATCTTTCTATACAGATTGTATCCAACGGGGATAGTGTGGAGAGGAAGTATAATGTGATCAGTACGGATGTTGTTATGTAGCCTGTATTTTAAGGAATCTGTTCCCCCATTCTGCTGAAGTGGGAGCCTGTGGCAATCCTCTGTGAATTACAGGGAGGCATCTTTTATTCTTGGTAAATATATTGGCCATAATTTCCCAATTGCTTTGTCTAAAGTTAAACACCTTAATAACAATGGCTTGAGTTTTCAGTGATCCTGTTGACAGCCATTACAGTAAATGTGCACTGCAGTTGCTCAGTACCTATGAAAACAAGCCATTTTTATTCAGGTGTGTAAATATGGGTTTAGGTGTCTAACTTTAGGCACCTTGGTTTGAATACTTGGGCGATATATACGCTGTTTAGATTATAATCTGTAACACTGCTAAAAGCAATGTTTGTATAAGTGTGTAAGTCAAGTTATCACACAATCAGTACACACACCTTTGTGATCCGTAAATATTTACTGAAAGTTGAAGGACACAGGACTATCCAGCACTAAGGGTATGTCTACACTTGGAGCGGGGGGGTGTGGGTCCCAGCTCACGGAGATATACTCCTGCTATCTCTAATTGAGCTAGCGTGCTAAAAATAGTGTAGTCGCAGCAGCGTGAATGGCGGGACGGGCTAGCTTCCCTGAGCACATGCTTAGGATGGGTACATATTTGGGTCAGCTAGCTTGTCCCATCGCCAGTGCTGCCGTGGCTACATGTTATTTCTAGCGGCTTAGCTCAATCAGCGCTAATGTGAGTATGTCTCCTCGAGCTGGGAATCATACCCCCAGCTCCAAGTGTAGATGGTACCCTAAGGCTCAGATCCTCAAAGGTGCTTGGAAACTAACACCCCTGGGAGGCACCTCAGTGCCTTTGAGGATCTTTCTCCCTATAAAGCTGTGTATATTAGTGGTAATGTCAGATTTATACGTATTTATATTAACAGATTTTTTGACAATGAAGAGACACAAATCATGTTTAAATCAATGGAAGTTACTAATGAGATATGAACACACATTCATCTATGTAATACAGGCAAATGTGCACCTATCACAAGACTTCTGAAACTTTTTCATAGGGTGGACTGTATCATAATACAGAGTTTCTCATGGACAACCTTTCCTCTGGTTTGTGATTGCACAGACCACCGGTTCCCTGAGTCAGCTGCAGCTATTGTTTGCATGAAAAAGTAATATTATCCAAGTATTTTAAATGTCTTTTAATGCAATTCAACATATGGAAATGAGAAGTCATTTTTTGCTCTCCAGGGAGCACAGGGCCACAGTTTGAGAACTGTGGTTAATACATATATTATTCACGGGTAGCCAAAGCTACAGCTATGGTTGCAAAACTATTCCCATTATTAACCCCTTGTTTTTCATGAGGCCTTAACTTACAGATAGATTTTGCTGTTGGAGAACAGCTCATGTTTTGTCTCAACCCAAAAGTGAAATTTGTTCTGGAAAGTCTGAGGGGAAAATCCCTTCAGTTCTTGGTTATGAAGAAGAAATTTAAAAAAAAAATAGTAAGGAAAAAAATATTGTTAACTTTTTAGATCAAATATCTTAGACTTGTCATGTAAGGATCCTCCAATGAGGAATGCTTGCTTTTGCTAAGTTCGCATTCTGAAACAAATCTTTCAATGTTATTAACATTTGAGCAGGTCATCGAATATGCACAATAGGAAATCTCATTAAATTTTAAATGGTGTCCGTACATGCTCAACTCTAGCAATATGGACTTTGAAAAAAAGGTAAGAGAAATTAGTCTGGCTTTTTTTCAATTTATTCTCTGTAAACAAGGCTCCATACTTTGACAGTGTTCCTTTCCTTCCTTCCTATGAATGTTTAGAATGTGCTTGATCATTAGATCACACTTTCTATTCATCTTTCCCATATACTGGCCTTTGCACACTAGAATGCAGCATGACTGACTTCTTAAAAGCATTGCTGTGATTCCTGGTGTTTGTCCAAACTGTATGTCTTTGCATTAAGATATATATTTACACTTCAAAGTGAGGCAGTGTCATTAATTCAAAAGAAAAGATGTGTTTTTAAAATAAAATAAGAAAATACAAGTATGAAGGCCCTCTTATGAAAGCAAACTCACCCACATTATATTTTATAGTATTTTCCCATTGCTGTTAGGAACAATCTGTCCAAAATAACATTTCTCTGATAACTTGACCACTTGCATTTCATAATTTAAAAAAAGTTTGTGCACAAACTTAATTGTTGCATTAACATTTCATTCATATTTTGAGCATGTGTAAAATATAGAAATACCGGTAGAAACACCATATTAACCTCATTTTTATGCCAAATTTCTAATGTAATATTTCTCTTAAATTATATTTCCTGAAATTTTCCATGTTTTGTCTGCCTAGCTGTGGTTTTCCCTCCCCACCCCCTTTAAAGTGGAATAAATCATTTAGAATGAATACCAGCAAATAGTCTGATTACATTCTAATGGAAGTAAAATAACCTTACACGCCTTACCATCCAACTGATCTGCTACAGGTAATCTCAGATGTATCAGGATATAAATAAATAAAATAAAGAGAGCTACTTGTGCACTCTGTGAGTGTGTTTGAGTACCTTGGTATTTAGATGGTAAGAAACGTGAATTGAGGTTGACATGGATGTGAATGCTAGCTTAATTGGTAGTTTCCTGACTTTCTAGCGGTTTTGTTGTTTGGAAATGCACTTGAGCAACCTGAACTCTCCACTGATAAAATATGTTATGCAAATATACATGAAGAGGAAACATAGGCAGATGGTGCAATGACAATAGCAGCTGAGATGTTAACTATGTTTTTTCATAGCCAGTTCTGCTTAATTCAGCCCCACTTGTTTTTTTCTCCTTTTTTTGTGGCTTCTGAGTCTAAATGTTAAGCAGGACCCACAGGACCACCCCCCATAAACCATATACAGTGAACTAGTAAATCAAAGGCATCACTGGTCATTCTTTTATACCAGATCCTGAAGGGAACTAATACAAATTCACAAATTCACAGGCTCAAAGCTTTATAGGAAAATTGATATTTGAAATTGATAGAAATGTCCAAATTTTATCTGACTAGAAAAAAAGACCCCAGATTCAATAATTTCTTCTAATTATTAATTACTGAAACATTTAAGTATCAATACAGGTTACTTAGCGCCCATTTTCTTTTTGCATGGGCGAATAAAGTCCTACAGAGTGAAGTCTGATCCTTCAGGCATTTTTAAAAAAGGTATAAAAGCTGACTCCCCCTTTAATTTAATTCAGGTTTAGGTTGGAGTTAGGGGACTCAAGGCAATTACTGAATTCCCTCTTTGGTTCTATGAATGTTCTGGAAATCAGATCCCCTTTCCTGACTGTAGCTATTTTAATTAATCATAACTTCAGTGAGGAGGGAGGACATACTACATTCTGGCCTTAATAAATCTATACACCTCTGTAAGGTTATTGTTTGTACGACAAGATTCTTGCTTCATAATTTGTATAATTACGTATTCCTGCCTACATTTAGAGATTAATTTTGATGAATATTTGTAAAGCTATATTTAACAGAAAAAGACAAATTACACCACCTAGTGGATTTGAAAAGTCCTTTAAGTTTATCTAGAGTCAAAATTTAGAAGGTAAGCAAGGATAGTTTTTTTCCCCTTGAGTGATTGTTCATTCACATTCCACTAATGGTGCACAAACACCCCGTGTACTCAAGTTCAGAGTCTTTTGGACAGCAGTATCTGCAGTGCGTGTACACCATGCAGCTCCTCATG